TGTAAATTCATTTCGTATTGTTTGTTTGAATCTTCCCATTGATGTTTAAGACTGCGATTGATCAGTTTATTATTGGGAAATTCAAACAAACAATACGAAATTATTATGATCAGAGAGGGAATTTGTGGATATTATAGTGAATTAATAGTTGAATTCATGAGTCGATTGAAGCTAGACCACCATAGAAAACCTGGAAGCACTAGATGCTCACTAGTGAAGGTTTCCAAGAGGTATTTCCTAGAGTTCTAGTGAGAATCAGTGACCAATGAAGATCAGCCGAGTCTGTTGTGAGATATTACTTCACTGGATACAATGGTGGACGGTGACACAGTTTTCGTGGATTGGTTAAAGTTGAACATTATTACCGTTGGATGTCGGCTCAGTGGTCTAGAGCTTAGGTATCTGTGCGCGAGACCGATAGGTCCTAGGTTTAAATATCGCGAGGCGGGATCGTGGATGTCCCATACTAGGACGAAGTGGTCTTCCAGTGCTTCCGGGTTTTCCATGGTGGTCTAGCTTTAATTGACTCATGAATTCAACTATTAAAATACAAAATGAGTTTAAACTTCACTCCATTACATAATCTAGTGGCTATCAGGACTCAGTAGCCAAGTGAATATCGCGATTGTGTTTGAAGTGAATGGTGCTGGGTTCGAGTCCTGTTGTGAACGTCAACTCTGGGATGCCGGCAACTCCAGCTGACGAGTCCCAAATAAGACGAAACACGCGTCCTGAATTTCACTGCTAGCGACCAACCATCTTTGCTTATTATCAGTCAATGTATTATGCAATAGTCTATCTTCACTGCAAACTAAATTTTAGATCAACTACTAAATTAGAAATTTGTCGACATATCCAACATGTTCACAGAACTGTTTTTTTCTTAATCATCTAACTGAACACATGCTTCGAATAAACACTATTTTCACTTACAAAAATGTCTATATTTTCTAATGACAAGCAAATTTATTCAAGTATCAATCGTTTGTTATAAGTTAGTCGCCAAATATTGATATTAATTATAAGTCAGAGTATAAACCAAAAAGAAAAACACAACTAATCCATTCATTCAATAATGATTTATTCGATCAGTCTAGAGTAAAGAAATTTATGGTTATATGCATATTATTTTAGAATCATTAACTGCTGATGAACTCCCACCAAAAAATGTGGTTTTTTTGTAATTACAGAGGTCAATAATAAAACAAATGATGAAGTAAAAAAGGAGATTGAGTGATAATACTTGTAAGGAAAGATCTTATTATAAATTTATATATATATCTTCATCTTCTTCCTAAAAAAAAATAGTGTACATCTTTATTATCAGCAAAAAGTGAACACGAATGAATGCAGCCAGTAATTGTGATAATAATAATAGCAGTAGTAGTAGTAGTAGTAGTAGTAGCAGACAGTATTCTTTCATGTTACAAATTACCTATTGAATCTAATATAATAAACATATTTCATATCTGTTTATATTTAATTAAATCCAATGAAATTAGGGCAAAGTTAAAAAGGAATCCCTTTTCCTTTCAAATAAATAAAAGATCATAAATTTCTATCATATCTTCTTTTGCATATCTATTGAATGAACATACGCGCCAATAAGTTTAAAAAGAAAAAAAAAAGATTAAAATAAATAATGAGAGAAATAGAAACAAATAGAATTCAATAGAGAATAAATACAACAAGTAACAAAAAGTGACTAAAACACGCGTCATTTGTAGATTATATAAATAAATAAACATTAAATTGTAAAGTATCTTTAAATTAAATAACATAAATATTCGTCTAATTGACTTGTCATCAATAAAGAACACACATGTAGTGATATCTACGTATGGAATACATGTAAAGTGAATATAAATATATGTATATGCATATATATTTATAAGTTAAAAGAACGCTTGAAATGACAAATTTATTTATCTTGTCAGTTGTCTAATACTGTGTAATGTTTAATCTGATTTTTTAAAAAAAACCCTTTTAATTTTTGTAAAATGAAAATTGATATCTGTCTATCTGTATTTGTACTGATGAGTGTGCAAAAACAATAAAATAAGAAATCATAAGTGACCATTGATATTAGGTATACATATATATATATATATATATTATATATATATATATATATATATATATATATATATATATATATATATATATATATATATATATATACGCAATAAACTACTCATCTATCTCTCAGGAGTGTAATGCAATCATTATTATATCAGAAGGATTTTTGTGGATATTATAGTAATTTCAATTGCTGAGATCACGAATCCATTAAAGCTAGACGATCATGGAAAAGTTGGTTGCACTGGATGGCCGTTTCGTCTTATTGTGGAACTCTTCATCAGTGTGCATCCACGATCCCGCCTTGCGAGCGAGTACTTAATCAATGGAATTCATATGAATCACATTTCTTTATAAATCTCTGTTGATAAATGAATAGTAATATCAATTTATTAATCTGAAATTACTGAAAACCTGAAAGCACTGGACGGCACTTTTGTCCTAGTATGAAACTCTTCAGTAGTGTACATCCAGTGCTTCCAAGTTTTCAATGGTGATCTAACTTAGATTGACCCATAAATCCGGCTATAAAATGAATATTTATTATAAGTAGACATTTTTTGTACTGATTTGTTAAGTTTTATTGTTTTCTTGAAGAAGTCTAGATCCAATTGCCTGACGAAACGTTAAATTAATTTAGTTTAATTATTTTTTGTAATATTCACAGATATAAATTTCATTTTATGATCCGATAAAACCCACTCAAAGAAAATCACTTCCTTCATCGTTAAGAAAATGTATTTGATCTGCTACATTCACTTCGTAATTATATTTACTACAATAAATGGATGCATCATTTACCAAACTTTTAAAATCAACTAGTATTAAAATCTATCAACTATTGTAATTGGTTGATAAAAATTGAAAATGTTGTTAAAATTAACTTTGAATCAAAACAAAAGTTACTCATTTGTTTATCTAAAGAATAATAGTTTCATTGTTTACAATCATAAATGGAGCCAGAAAAATCATCTTTCAACATAAATTATGTTACATTTAACTGAATAAATTTTATTATTTAGTTATTTATTTCATATTTCACATATGTTGCCCACAAAACAGACATAAAAACTATCTTATACAAAACGTCATGACTTATGTAAACCTACTCATTCATTTACCAACATTCAGGTAATAGCAGAAAGTCCTGTGGCTGATATGATTATATGTATATATATACACGTGCAATGTATTCATTCTATAATAATCCCATGAATCACATGATTGCAAGCAACTATGAAACTAGCAAACTTGAACAAAATATAACGTGTAATTCATTTTTCTTTACAGAAAACTTATTCTAACTATTTGTCACAATAAAGATGACAACTGAGACTCAATAAATCAAAATTTGTAATCGAACTTGAAGTAAATATCCTTTAATTATGATGATCATTATAAGTCATTGAAAAATGTGTTGCTTATTTATTTCTTTCCTAATTTTCATTCTACCATATTTAAAAACATTCGAACAACAGATCAATAATAATGTCTATGTGACTTGTATTATTTTATTTTTAACAAAGAGATCACTGAAAAATGTGGAAATTGATGTGTAGTCTGACGATATATTATGGCTTGGAAGCGTAAGTAGGGCAACTTATCAAGAAACCTGGAAAAGGACGGAAGGGAAAAAGTGAGCCGACAATTCGGTAATCAAATAGAATATACTTACATTCAGTAATGAAAACAATCAACAATAAATCGCGATAAAGTAAGCATCACATTAAGATAATCTGACAATCGAAACTAGAAGTTGATAGTGTAAGATTTTAAATAAGTTACAAAACGTTTACTTCAACAAAACAGTGAAAACTGGAGGCCGCGTAGTTTAACAAAGATAGTTACCCAACGATTTTCAGTTTATATCACCATCTGATCATAGCAAGACACGCACTGGAAAAAAAGAAGCACTGGGCACCTGTTTTGTTCTCGTATAAAACTCAGCAGTATACACCCATGATATCACTGAACAGCGAGCCCACAACCTTCAAAGCTCATGTTAAGCAATAAAACTTCAAGCCATGGGGTTGGGACACAATTATTTATGTTTCTAACTCTAATCAGTTCTCAATAGTGTGCAACTATATTCCAGTGTTGTTGGTGGGTAACGAAAGCACACCTAAGATGAATAAAATTCGCTTGTTACAGCTTCTCATTAAAACCACCTCTCATAACTAGTCCCTAATGTTCATATTTGGCACAGAAATTCATTCATATAAATCCAGATTAGTGCCTCTATATCCCTTTATTAGATCGTGAAAAGCCTTTTATACGATTTTATACACTCATCTTGTTCCTATATGCTTTTTCTTATGAATCAACACCTTTGGTGACTGTGTATATTTGTATAGTTTGTACGCCATTGGACTACCCATTATTAAGTTCATCTCTAGTAAGTTTGTTCTCTGTGAAGTTATATTTGGATAGAAAAAATGGAACTTTTATTAACAAACTTTGCTTCAAAACCAGTGAACATTTTTTATAACACTGAAGTTATATGATATTATTTATACTTTGTTGTGGTATAATTTTAGAGAGACATAATATATATCGTTAAAGTGATTGGTTAATAAATATTATAGGCTTTTCGGTTGCTTTCAGTGGATTATTAATTACATTTGACATTTCCTATTTATTTTACATTTGAGTACTAATGGATATTATGAGTTCGTAGTTATTGGCTCAGTTTTGTAATGGCTATTCATTTAGAAATTAAATGCTATCTCCTCCTAAATACACGGAGTCAAAGTTTTCAATAACTGATGTACACGTCAAAGTCAATAGATCTTTACTAATTTGTACTTGACCAGAAGATGAATAATCATGAAATTAGTTAGTAGTTACCGTATTTTATAAAGTCTATAAACGAAAATACTGAAAATGAACTAAATGGATACCGTAATCTTATTGTGAAGAAAATGGAAGTAAGAAAATATAAACGAGAAAAAATCAACCGAAAAAAAATGTTACTCAAAAATAAACTACGGAAAATGTCACACATAAAATCAATTAATTCACGCTGCCAGAAATAAGAGTTTATTTAGTTTTATGATACATTTGATGATGATGATGATGATGATGATGATGATGATGATGATGATGATGATGATGATGATGATGATGATGATGATGATGATGATGATGATGATGATGATGATGATGATGATGATGATGATGATGATGATGATGATGATGATGATGATGATGATGATGATGATGATGATGATGATGATGATGATGATGATGATGATGATGATGATGATGATGATGATGATGATGATGATGATGATGATGATGATGATGATGATGATGATGATGATGATGATGATGATGATGATGATGATGATGATGATGATGATGATGATGATGATGATGATGATGATGATGATGATGATGATGATGATGATGATGATGATGATGATGATGATGATGATGATGATGATGATGATGATGATGATGATGATGATGATGATGATGAAGGAGAAGAGAGGAGTAGGTATCAATGAAAATTCATGTACTCCTTTTCTCACATTTTTTCAAAATGTTTACTGTTAAAATAAATTGAGACAACACTACATAACTTGTGCACTTATAGTAGTACAATAGAAGTATTATTATTCATAAACACATAGTTATCTAGATATATATGCACGACGGTAAGCATATAAATATGTAGACAAACGTACATATTATTCTGTAACATTAACTATCAGGGCGACAAGTCATCTAAATGAAAGCGGCACAGTTATTTAATACTTGAAGATCAAAGTAATATAAGAAATTTTGCCGCTACATTTGTGAACATGTGTTTTCTTCCATTTTTATAATTATTAACATTGATCGTCATTCTTCGTCCTACTAATGAAGATAGTGTATATGTTTCTTGTTTATGACCTTATACAAAGAGATATGAAAAGAAGTAACAATATCCAGGTTTTTTTTCCATGAAGCAACGAAATAAATATTGTTCTTTTTTCAACTTGACCATTGCAGATTAGTCCACATATAAACTAGTAGGTATGTAAAATAGTAGTATATTATAATATATAGTGAATTTTCAAGAAGTACCATAAACAGATTCTAAGAACATTTGTTTATAAATTATTTTTCTAGTTATTTTCTTTTTGAGGTTGATTATTGTTAAGGGAATTTTAATTATACCATTAAGTCATTCAATGAGTTAATGAAACGAACTATATTCTTTATGCATTTACTAAAAAAAATACATAAATCTTATTTCTTACTTGATAGTAAATTCACTTTTTCTTGTGTAATTTTATGTAGTAACTTGAAGAAAACAAACTACCTAATAAAGGAACACAAATGAATAAACCATATAAAACAATTGGAGTATAAGTAAAATATTATCTTTTTTTGTATAAACGTGAATAACTTTAAGTCGTAACACCATGTGCTCACTTGTGACTAGCTTTATGGGGTAATTCTCGGAGTTCTAGCGAGAGGCCGTGACCAGTGGAGCTAATCCATATCAGATAGAGACAAATATCTATCTCAGACAACGGAAGATGGTCGCGAAATATCTTGGATTGGTTGAAGTTAGACAATAACACCGTTGGATGCCGGCCGTTTAAGCGTTCGCGCGCGAGACCATGGGTTCTGCGTTTGGGTCCTTCGTGTGGGGTCGTAGGTGCGAACTTTTGAGGAGTCCAGTACTAGGACAAAACGGGTGTCCAGCGCTTCCAGGTTTCCAATATTGGTCCAACATTGGTCGGTTCATAAACTCAATTAAAACTCCACAATCTCCGCAACCTCGTACTGATGAAAAAAGTGGTAAATGATATAAACTCTTGTCCCCTTTTTTATTTTATAAAATATAATGCGAAAAATATTTAATAGATTAAATAAACCAGTATCAGAAAAGGTAACTACAATAGTAGTAGTAGTAGCAACGAATTTCTCAGTTAGGTTACTTTCTATCACCAGTGACGTCTGGCGTTTGTCTTCTTTAAAGTTTTATCAACTTTACTGGACAAACAATGTTCTCTAAGTATATACTTTGATACATTCCATGAAACTGACGAACTGTTTGAGATTTCGTAGATATTAGGACTAACATAATTATACTATCTCATCTTTCACAGAGATAAATATTAGATGAATAAGTTGACGATAATTTGTAATAAGATGGTGGTTAGAGGTATTCAACAGGAAACCCTGGACCCGGGTTTCTGGCTACTTGGCACTCGTCAGCAAGGTGTACCTGTAATCTCGAGGTGATTGGTGCTCCCTGATGGATTCTATTCTGTGTCACTCAGCTTGACAATCAGAGACGTTACCACTAGTTTTCTGTTGACTACCTCTAACCACCATCTTATCTCAACATAGTGCACGCAATGTTGAATCACCTAGACTAGTGGCCAAATTGCAAATTCGTCGATAGCATTCGATCTACACTAAGAAGGACTTGACACACATGACATTGATCACCACCCAGTGATCAATCAATTGTGACGATAATTTGTGTTGATTTTGCTAGTGAATAGTACGGCTACGATTGACCATGGACTGATGATTGGTATATAATTTTTTTGCAAAACTACCCATACATATCAACAGACACAAAAATCTAAGATTGAATTTTCTAGATGGCTAACTTCAAATTTTTTCTTATTAACTTTTTAAATTAAATTTCAACCTGTTTTCTATCATTGTAGATAAACTTTAAGTTTACAATAGAGTGATTCGAACATTCGACGCTATTTATCATCTTACTTTCCATGAATAAACGTATATCCCCAATTTATTGTTTCATGTATGTCTAAACTATCTGTAGTATGAAAAATAAAAGTCATGGAAACGTATTTTATTTCATAGCTTGATCCAAATAATTCCAGTAACAAATTGTATATAACTTTAAATGAATCCATTGAGTAATGTAAAAATAGGATTGGATTTGAGGATAGAAACCCAGTAATAATATGAAATCGCATTTCTTCACTAGACAAAAACTTAAACTAGATAGACATAAAACACAAGAAATGTACATCATGTAAGTATGAGCAATAAAATAAAGTCAAATTCCCTGTTCATTTAGTTAAATAATAATAATTATTTGCTTATATTCTGAAAATGACCACATAATCCAGGCCAATATATAGGGATGATCAGGTTAATTTTAAAGGAGAGGCAACAATTAAGAAAAAATAAGAATACATAATTGCAAAAGATGAAATTCATAAAATATTTCGATCAAAATTTTGCTACAGAGTTGTTAATAGTCTAAAACCTATGATACATACAAAATTCCAAACCAGATCTAATGTCGTTTCTTGCTTATTAAAAAGAGAATGTAGCACTTGAGAACTAGTATTTTCTCAATAAAATGACAAAAATGTTGGCTTTGGGTAAAATTAAACTAAGTAATGCGATGTTAAGCGATTTTATTTTAGTCATAAAGTTCATATTTGCATTGTGATCAGGAAGCAATAATCAAAGAGATATTCTAACAATTTTTTCTTCATAAGTGTTCTTCATTGTTTTTCAGCCAAATGGTCTGCAGAGAAAAATCTTTCAAACTAATCTACTAGTCAATATTAGTCATTAAAATGACTAAATGACTAAGGCAAAGTCTATAATTAATCCGATAAAATGTTCAAGATTTGTAATATACGCTTGTAATAAATTCCAATCACGATCCTATCCAGCGGGATTCGAACCTAAGACCTAATGGTTTCGTGAGCGAACGATTAACCACTGGATCAATGAGGTATTTCCTGGAGTTCTAGTGAGAAGCCGTGGCTAGTGGAGTTCAGTCGTGTCTGTCGTGAAATAAGAATTCACTGAAGACAATGGTGAACGTCGATGCCGTTTACTTATCGATTATCCATGGGAATTCAATATTGAACTGTGATATTTAAAAGAATACAAAGAGGGAGAAGATTTTCATTTCACTAAGTGTAAAAATGATTGTGTGAATAAACTGTACCAAACTCTCATAGAATCTCTGAAATTTCCTTAGAGATTAAAGTAAAGTAAAATGAATCTAAACTTTTTATGTTAAAATTCCATAAACTAGATTATATTACTAAGTGTACACGGTAATATTTTGAAGAAACATATTAAATTTTAATTCACACTATTTTAAAAGTATAAGTATAATTAACTATTTATGTTATTATAAAATAAGACTCATAAAGTAATAGAGAATGATTCTAATTAAAGTTAAGCAACCAGTCATCTTAATATATCTCCTCTTAGTTTAACCATCATTGAAACAGGTTCCTTATTTTTCAGTCATTATCAATAATGAGTAAACAAACAAAAGACGAATCGGCCAGTATTTTTTAGATTATGGTAATAGTCAAATGCTCCAAATGCCCTGGTGCGGCAGAGAATAGGGAGAGTCGGCTCTTCCTCTCGAAATGCTCTCACATGGCCACGTGCATATAACCACTGCCAGAGAAGTCCTACTCACCGCCTTCTCGCGGCGGGGGTGTTGTTTAGGCAATTGAGAGGATGAAAAGCGAATGTCTGGCGCTTTAACCGGGTTGGTGGACACGGAGAGTCCATTTAGGAGAGTTGTGAATCTCTGATTCCAAACCAATGGTGCACATGGCTCCAGTATCATGAGGGAAAATATGGCGTATAAACCAATCGTTGGTCACCGACTACCATAGCACTACATCTCCTTACGTTGCTCCACTGTCTTATGGGTCAGACCTTTAGGTCAAAGGCTCCGGGTACGGCCTCCTAAGGAAACCACCTGCTTCGAATCGGGCACTCGGGCAGTATACCAGCCCTCACACAAATCGAATGATTTGTGTGGCGCATATCTATTTAGTGCCTCCTTGAACCAATGTTTATGTGTTTAAATAAATAAACAATAAAAATAACTTATTATTAATTAGAATGATATTTAGCTGCTTGATGCTTAATAACTATTTTAGCATTAGCTATATCAATTAAAATCATTTATTGAATACTCCCGTTGAAAATATTAACCAATGGACTCAAAACTATCTACTACGATATAAAAACTAGTTCTCTGGATCCGATCAGGTTTGGTATTAAGTAAGTGCTTTTATAAAGTATCATCAACTCAAACGAATTACGTATTGTATTATATTTCAGTTTATTTATGAAACAATTAAACTAATAATGCCTACTTACTTACTTACGCCTGTTACTCCCAATGGAGCATAGGCCACCGATCAGCATTCACCAACCCACTCCGTCCTGAGCCTTCCTTTCTAGTTATATACGATTTTTGTTCATTTTTCTCATGTCTATTTCCATTTCTCGGAGTAATGTGTTCTTTGGTCTTTCTTCTTCTCTTTGGCATGAAGGATTCTGTGTGGGGGCTCGCCTTGTGACTCAGTTGGGTCCTTTCCCCAATGTACGTCCTATCCACTTCCAGCTCTTCTTCCTGATGTCTTCCTCCGCTGGAATCTGGCTTGTTTTCTCCCACAATAGGTTGTTGCTGATAATGTCTGGCCAACGGATCCGAAGTATTTTGCGTAGACAGCTGTTAATAAACACTTGTATC